GTATGGTCGCAGGCTATCGGCTGACGGCTCCCTGGAAGCCATAACTGCTGCCGACAGAGTGACTTTGAACTGCATGCGATGGAACGTGCCCTCTGAAAGCTACGTCCCATTGTGTTTCTGGACGGGGACCGTGCAAGGTGAGTTTGTGCACAGATGTCAGGACCCCTAGGCATAGCCGTCTTGTGTGGCTCATGTCATTCAGAGAAAATAATGAAAAGGTCTTGTGGATTCCTGTAGCCCCTCAGTGTTCACCATGGCGCCGCTGCTGCGCCAGCAGGTACATAAAGATGGGGTGAAGGGAGACCTGTTGCTCACTGACCAGGGAGCGGCGTGTTGGCCGTCAGACAAGTCCTTCCTTCACCACCAACGTCTGGTGCCCTGAGGCAAGACTGACCCCACAGGACACGAGCAGAGAGAATGTGGAGACAGATCAGCTACTGAAACTATTTTCTAAACAGTGGGGCTTATCTTCTGGATGTATGAGCTGTATTTTAAAGCTTTATGAAGTTATAAATTACACGTCATGAACTATGCACACTGAAAACACCGTTAAGTTTTGGTTTACGTACTTCTGCTACCACTCCAGTCAAGGGGTGAGTGTCGGTCACCTTGGATTTACCTTGGGCCCCTTCGCAATCCATTCCTGCCTGGCACGGGTCTCTAAAGTAGATGTGTTTATATTTTCTAGATTCTTAGAATTAACTGTATGTTTACGTTTCCTTCTTTTTTTATGTTGCAAAATTTCTTTGAGATGTGAAAATGATACTGTATAAGTAGCTCAGCATTTCCCCCATCTTTGAATCTACCAGCTTATCAGTTGGTCTGTTCATAGAACTGAGTGATTTCTGTTTTTTCACTATTGTGAATGAACCTTCTATGAAGGTGTGCAAGTCTTTCATGTGGATAAATGTTTCATTATCTCTGTGAGTTGGAGTGCAGTATCTGAGTCACAGTAGGTGAGTGTTAACTTACAAAGTATGTTGTGACATAAATTGTACCATTTTACAGATATTTTGTACAATGTCTTCTCTTAACGTGTTGCCTTTTCTTTTATGAACTTAGGTGGTTTTCCTTGTTCTTAGAACAGCAAAATTGTGTGTTGAAATTTTATAGCTTCTTGACTACATGAGTGACTACTTAATGTAATAGTTACTCCAGTCTAGAAGACTATATCCTAATTTTTTCCCCCAAAATTATGTACAATATATAGAAACACTTTACGCTTCTAAGTGTATTAGGTCTTTTCCTTTGAGCCTTCCCCTGCCCATCCCCCAGTGAAATGTCATGAGGAGGTGTTGACTACAACTACATACATAGTTGAATATACATGGGCAGCCTTAGCAAAGCACGTGCCAAGATCAGCCTTCCCTTCCCTTCATCCAAGGATTGGTGGTATTCAGGAGCCCAAACCAGTGGAGTTTGTGCCTGAGAGGGTTTCGCAGAGGTGGACATCCAAATTCTGCAAAACTGGCCGTTCCCAAAAACTAACAAAATTACCCATGATCGCCAGGACCACTGAGGGCTGTAATTACCTGTTTTCTCTCATTCATGAAGCTTCCTTTCCCTTTCTTAAGCTCATCTCTCAAGTATGTTTTCCTTTGTTTGCCTCTCTGAGCCTCCTGGGATGGCTCCCTGTTGCCACCTTCCTGCTGCCAGTGCTTGGAGGCTGGTCCTGTGGCTGAGGACTGGTCTGATGGGCCACCCCTGGGTCGCAGGAAACGGCGCCCCCAAGCGCGGTGATGGAAACTAGCACATTCAGCCACCACACTGCTGTCTCAGTAGTGACACCCAAATCCTGAACTTAGCAGATCTCAGCTGCAGGGGGCCGGGGGCCTGGGGATGGCGGCAGGGACCATGACGACTCCCTACCGGCAAGACCAAGTGTTGAAGACTCGTAACGCCTGCTGGTTCCCCCACGAACCCCCTGTTGTTGCCCCTCCTGGTTCTGTCTTCGGGCCCAGAGGACGTGGGTGACGTCCAGGCGCGGGCATCTATAGCGGGAAAGGAGGTTACAACAGGAGCTTCTTTCTGAATGGGCAGTTTGGATCTATGTCCACTGAAGTTAGGTTTTCAGTCTGGCACATTTCAGCTGCTGCGTCTGAGATGTCGGTTCTGAAGACGTAAGTGAGCAATTGCTGACGCTGAGTGCCCCGTCCTGTCACGGTCGTAGCCCGGTGACCGCGGAGTCGCCACCGGCACCAGCTCCCGCTCTCCGGCTTCGGAAACTACAGTACCCAGAGGGCACTGCGCCCCACCTGGCGGCCGTGAGCCAGTCAGAACCCGGGGTATGTCAGCGCGCATGCGTGCCAGCGCGGGGCGGGACTTCCGGTGGCGCCTCCGGGTGGCGGTTGTATCCTCTGAAGGGGCCGTTCGCTCCGTCCGGGGCTTGGGGCGCCCGGCCGGGCCGAGACGCGTCGGGAGGCGCCGAAGGATGGCGGCGGCCGCGCCGAGGG